CATCATCATCATCATCATCATCATCATCATCATCATCATCATCATCATCTGTCATCATCTTCAACTTTCGATTTCATCCAATATTTCATCATCCAACTGTCGGTCTTTCGCTTCCTGTATCTTTCACATATCTTACTGGACTTGTTGTGGTTCAAATTTCGATTACCCCTCGTCTTCATCTCAGCGAGTAGCTGATACGATAGGAGGTCACAGCGATGGTTGTCTCGTCCCTTGTTCGCCGAGGCATGGAGCTAGCCTCCGACATGCCCATGAACTCCAAAAATCCTGAAGTGCCTTCCATTCATCTCTCAGGGTGGCTGGCTGGTCTTTTTGTCTTCTCTGTCCTAGCTTTCTTTTTTGTTGTCTTCTCGGTAAGGTCACTATTCTTTGTCATGTTCCTACATTAGAGGGTTGCGCTCCTTGAGATGTCCTACGGTCGCTAATCCCACCTCTAGATCGAATACACCTACGGAATGGTGGTTGCGGCCCTCGCCGCCGTCGAGGAAACTAACCCCGATATCTATATCCGCGTCAAAACTGATGTCAACCCCAACAAGGATGTGGACCCGGCTGAGCCCGAGGTAGACACTCTTCGCCCTCAGCCTATCACCAATACCTTGCGCACCACCATTAAACATCTCCGTTCCCGTGCCGGCTTCTGGTCTCGTTTCCGCGGTTTTGGTCTGTTCTTCACATACTCTCTGGCCGAGGGGTTCCTATTCTCGATTCTACCTGTGTCCATGACCAACTTTGCCGGGCAGCTGGTCGCCAGGATGATTATCGGCATGGCCCTGGCTAACCTGGAACTGACCTGGGTGCATATTGTGATATCCGAACCCTCCCCCAAGCGCTTCTACCAACGCATTCCCGGTTTCAAGAGCTGGCTGAAGATTGCTCCTGTCGTTGCCTTTGAGCAAGGCGTTGTCTGTGCCGCGTTCTACATTCCTCTACTTATTGCCGGAGCTGCTGGGGCTCTAAGCGACTTGGTTGTTGATCCCAACGCTAACCTCCCACCGGCTGAGCTTGTGAGCCGCGCTGCCACGGCCATCGCCATCCCATCCCTGCTTGCCGGCCTCGTATCTATCCCCGCGCGGGCCGTTACAATCCGTGTCGCGGCCTCCATGCTCCCAAAGGAGGATGAAGCGATCATACCCTTTGATCGCTCCTTCGGTGGAAAGGTGGTTCCTGCAACTCTGGGCGGCAGCGGTAAGCTCAGCATTAAAGATGCATGGGCGAGCTTTGATGGACCTGCTCGCATTCGCTACCTGAAAGTGATCGGTAAGGCATTTGCCATGGAGTTTGCTGCGATTATCCTCTTTTCATTTGTACTGGGATGTCAAGCCCACGCGGGGGCATTGACGTACGGTGTCCGGCGTAGCGAGGTCAGCGCTTAGCTGATCCGTATACTATAACGTACTTGAGATTTTCTTTAATTTTTCTATGCTTCTTCTATTATTATCACCTCTTTCTTTCTTTTCTTTTTTTCTTTACCTTCTGTTTTGTTACATAACTTGGACATCACTTTTCTCTTCGTTGTGTCATAGTAGGTTACTCATCCACTACGCATCGGCCCAAGTGACACTACAGAGCCGGAAAAGTTTCGTTTCGGTTGTCCTTTTGACCTCTCCTATTGTGTTGATACATGCGCCTTGTAGCCCCTTGGTTAGTAGTTATGCCAGAGACATACTGGTTCTTCTTGCATCCAGAATGCTCTGCGGAATCTATTCTACATTATGCATAAGACCGCCGATTACGTAGCTGTTCCATAAGTATAATATACTGTTACATGTCGTCTGTAGGGTGCCTGAAAATTAACTCTGTCGATGCCTGACTAAGGCCATCAAACTGGCCAATAGCCCCGCCCCCCACCCGACCAAACACACCGCCTTCAGTGGCCATCCTTTCACCACCTCTCGTCACTGTTAATCTTTTCTCCCTTTTCTCCTCCTGGGTACCTTCGGAGAGTCCTCCTCTTGTTGAACCGCTATATCAACTGTATGCGCTCCTAGGGTCTCGTCAGGCGCCTTATCCCTTCATCCCGTTCCCCTTTCTTGCTTGCCCGCGCTACCACTCCCGAGACCAGAGTTCCACTATGGCTACATCACCAGCAGGTCGCATGCTGTTGGGGCAGCTGCAACAGATGCAGTCTGCTAAGGACCTTCCCGGCATTAGCTGTGGGCTCGTCGATAATAACGTGTTTGAGTGGGAGGTCATGCTCATGATCTCAGACGATGTCAAGTTGTACGGCGGTAAGTTACATGCTAGTGATTTCCGAAAAGATTCGATAACCCGGCAGTATATATATGTATCCTTGAATACTTACTGATTGACTTTGATTTTTTTTTAACAGGCGGCTTCTTTCGTGCTCGACTCTCCTTTCCCCCCGAATACCCACATATGCCACCGAAGATGAAGTTTGAATCGCCACTTTTCCACCCGAACAGTATGTCTCTTCTCCCCCTCTTTCCCCGCTCTGCCTTATCTATCCCGAGTCAGACGCTGATGATACATAGTTTACCCCAACGGCGACGTCTGCATTTCCATTTTGCACCCACCCGAGGAAGACAAGTACGGTTATGAGTCTGCTGCAGAGCGCTGGTCCCCCGTCCAGACCCCGGAGACAATCCTGCTATCCGTGATCTCCATGCTCTCGAGTCCGAATGATGAAAGCCCCGCCAACGTTGAAGCTGCCCGCCTATGGAGAGAAGACCCTAAAGAGTTCAAGAAGAGGGTCCGCAAGTGTGTCCGAGACAGTTTGGGCGAGGAATAAAGCGCTTCTGGTGCACAATGAGATTATGCGTGACTGATATTGTTGGCGCTGGAACATATTGTCCTTTTTTTTTTTTTT